TTAGGGGGAACACTGCTCACAGGGTGTCTGCTGTGGGGAGGTGAAGGGGAGTTTGTGAGCCGCTCTGAGACTCCTTTGGGTCGTGAAGGGCCATGAGGTATAAATCCAATCTCTTCTTCCTCTCCGCTGCTCCTTCCCCCTCCGGGGGTCACCAGCCCACTTTTTCTCCTGCCGTCCCCCCTCCCTTCCCACCTCCCCTCCTGCCCCCTTCTCCCTCCCCCTGCGGGGCTCAGCATTGAGGCTGGCCAGTTGGTCCTGCGTAGGCAGCCCAGAGGGGGTTGCTGGTGGGGGGGGAATGAGGGGGTGGATGAGCCCCCCCGTTGGCCTGGCACGATCAGGGCCTGTCAGAGTGTTGCTGGCTGAGTGGAGGCGGGGGAGGTCCCAGTCCAGGAGAGCACCTGAGTTCCTCTCGTTAGATACCATCTGAGTGGAGACGGGTGTAACGAGATCATTGTCTGATATCCTGTTACGGAATTGACCCCGTTGACTCTTCAGAGAATTATGTTGTTCAGATAAGTGGCAGGAGGCATCTCGCAGGCTCTGCATCACATAGCGGAGAGAGGATTTATCTCTAGTACAATAAATTGAGGGCTAACTTTAACGTGATTATCCTTTAGATAATACGAGGGGCCCCTTGTACTGCTGATAAAATAATTTTGCAGGTGAATCTTTGGACACTAGCTTGTTATCTAAGGGCTAACTTTAACGTGATTATCCTTTAGAGAAGGGCCCCTTGTACTGCTGATAAAATCATCTTGCAGGTGCATCTTTGGACACTAGCTTGTTATCTACAGGTGCAAGATTAAAAGGCAAAAATTTAACGTTTTATTCGCTGTAAAAACAGCAGCAAAGCTAGCATTTCTTCAGCTACTTTAATTAACTGTCAATAGAGAAAAGAAATTGTGTAGTTTCCTGATCAGCAGGGGAAACTGCAGTGAGGTCTAAACCAATGTTCCCTCTAAGCTGAGTGAGTGTGAGCTAGCTCACACTCACTCAGCTTAGAGGGAACACTGTTAACTTAAAGTTAAAGTACACCTGGAGGCTCAAAAACTGTGAGCTAGCTCACACTCACTCAGCTTAGAGGGAACACTCTTAAAGTTAAAGTACAATTAACGTGTACACTAGACTCTAAACCTGCACGCTTAGCAAGGATACCTGTGACTTGATCAAACATACGCCCCCTGGAGACGGGACTGGCATCAGGGCGCATTGCGGGCTCGGACTCTGGGTTCATGTCTCTGTTATGTGGCCCGTGGTTGTCATTCCTGCCTCTCAGTCATGGGCCGGCAGACTGGCCAAGGCCTGGGAGACCAAGCCCCTTTCCCCAGGGGGGCCTAGGGGGGACTCTGCTGAGGCCCCAGGGGGGTTTATAACAAAGCAAATAAATAAAGATACAGATGAGGATTTTGGTTTCTGCTGGGGATCCGTGTTCCAGATTGGGTTGGCATGCGTGAAACAGTGTCTGGAGTGGATATGCGAATGGACTTCGCTTTTGTGGCAGGAAAAACGGGCAGAGTGACCCTGATCTGATGTCGAGGCATCGCACGTGTTTACGGGCCACGCGACCTGTTTAGAACTAGAATTTACAAACTGGTCTGATTTGCTGAACACAGAGGAAGTTAAAGAAGTCATTCAAAAGAGTTGCATCTGATTGACATACTTTGGTGTGTTTAATATTGCACTCCTATCTGTTTCATGCAAAATGGTGGTACAAAAAACATGTTTATTTTGAGAACATCAGGTGGCCAAGAGCATCAAAGAGAGACTGAAAACGGGGGCGGGGGGAGCCAGAGTGGAGAAATTAGTGAAGTGAACCTGACTGCAGACAATTTAGGGGTCTCTGGAGAGGAGATAGATCCCGGCAGGGTGGCCGTGTTGGTCTGAAGCCGCAGAACAAAGATGGGAGAGTCCCTCGTGGCCCCTTGAAGACCAACCAAGTTTAATTCTGGGTATAAACTTGCATGCGCAAGCAAGGTTCTGAGGAGGTACGCATGCACACAGAAGTGTATACCTGGAATCAGTGCTCCCTCTAAGCTGTGGAGCCTTGTGAGCAAAAATTCTACCTTGTGAGCTGCTGGCATTAAAAGTTGTGAGCGAGTGATTTGGCTGCTGCATAAATTAGCTTGGTCTGGAGCCATCCCTTCCTGGGCTAAGATAAAAAAATGTGTGAGCCGGAGGCTCAAGAACTGTGAGCTAGGTCACACTAATTCAGCTTAGAGGGAACACTGCCTTGAATACAACTTTGTTCGTCTTCAAGGTGCCCGGCTGGACTCAGATGTTGTTCCCTTGAGAGAAGAGTTAGAAATATCTGAGAGTGAAAGCCACAAAAGCATAAAGGAAACAAAACAAAGAACTGAGAGGAATAGTGGGGAACTAGGCCTCCCCCCGCCCAGATTATCCACTACCCACAAGGTTTGGGCTTGAGTTGCAGGAAGGGGAGTCGCACCCTTCCGAGTTCAACGATGTCAGTGGGGTCAGGAGGGTGTGACTGTGCTTAGGGACGGGTCTGTTTAGCTGTCATTTTGGGGCGGGGGGGGGACAGGCTGATGAAAGGCGTGGAAAGCCGGACGGACTCTGGAGGGGGTGACGAAGAAAGAGAGAGAATCCCCAGAGAAACCAGACATTTTGAGACGAGAAGTGAACTCCCAGGTAAGGTGACCAGCAGGGATGCCAACTGCATGGTTTAGATCTCCCCTGAGTGGCCTTTCTGGAGGAGCCGCAGTGGCTTCCCGTCTGGTGCGGCTGCCACATCTCTCCCCTTCTCTCTCCACCCCCCAGGAGCTACAAGATGCGCTTCAACAGCGTCTCACAGTCTGACCAGCTGGTGGCCGCTTGGAGGAGGAAACGGAAGGAGTCCAGCAACACGGACAGCGCCGGGGCCCTGGGGACCCTTCGGTACGGCAGCTGGGGGGGGGGCCACGGGGCGTTTGGGAACCAGAGTCACGTGCAGAGGATCTCTGCATCGCAGGGGATATGAAACGGGCCCTGACCCAACACCGGGCGGGGGGAAGTGGTGCCTTCGCATGGCATGTGGGACGCAGCTGAACAGCACGGGATGGGAGGCTCGAGTCCCCTTTTTCTTTGGAAACCGGGGGGGGGGGGAGAGCGAGAGAGCACCTCTGCTGGAAACTCCCTCCCCCCCTTCCCAGTGGGGTGTTCCCCGCAGGCTGCCTCCTCGTCCTCGGAGTGACCTCTGCAGGGCTGGGGGCCAGGAAAGCAGGAAAACCCCTCCCAAGATTATGTGGGTCACGTGGGTGGTCTCAGCCCAGAGTTGCTTTCCTGCCCCCCCCAAGTCCCCTGCCACAGCTCAGTCCCCAGCCGTGCGCCGCCTTCTCTGACCAGCCACCCCACATCAGGGGTGACTCCCTCCCCCCTCCCCCTCGCAGGAAATCCCAGATTTTTTTTAGTGGCAAAAGAGGAGCCACGAAGGGTGGCTTTAGCAGAGCTGGATGATTTCAAAGCACAGGAAGTGGTGGCCAGCGGCTGTAGGTGGGGCGGGCCAGAGTAGTTCCACCATAGAAAGAGTGCAAGTATTCTCTTGAGAGGGGGCTCAGCCGATGAATCTCCTGCTGGAGGGAAGCTTCATAAGAACATAAGAGAAGCCAGTGTTGGATCAGGCCAGTGGCCCCTCCAGTCCAACACTGTGTGTCACACAGTGGCCAGAAATACCAGGTGCCCTTAGGAGGTCCAGCAGTGGGGCCAGGACACTAGAAGCCCCTCCCACTGGTGCCCCCCCCGGCACCAAGAAGACAGAGCATCACTTGCCCCAGACCGAGAGTTCCTATCTATACCTCGTGGCTAACAGCCACTGATGGACCTCTGCTCCAGATGTTTATCCATAAGAACAT